TATAAGAGACAGCTCCCACCCATCTGGGTGTCACCTGCAAACTGACTGAGGGTGCCCTCGATCCCCTCCTCTGGATCATCCATAAAGATGTTAAACAGGAGCGGCCCCAGCACCCAGCCCTGGGGGACACCACTCGTGACCGGCCGCCAACTGGATTTAACTCCGCTCACCACAACTCTCTGGGCCCGGCCGTCAGCCAGTTTTTTACCCATCCTGCCATGTACCTGCCCACCCCACACCCCGTGGAACAGCTGTCCGTGTGACAAGAGACCCGGTCACTCAGTACCACGTACGACATTGTTTTGTGCACAAACCCACAGTTTTACCACTATATGGACAGAGAAACCCCCAAATTTCAGTAGACTTCCACCTCCAGAACAACCTCAGAGGCTTTGCTGGAAGAACCTTCACTCCCAGGTGGGCTGTGGGAGTTCATTCCTGACACAATTCCCCTTTCCTGATTGTTCTTCATGACTCAAACCCACTGCCACGCCAGCACAGAGCTCCCACAACCTCCCCATTGGCCCAGCCAGCCCAGAGCTGGCCAACCTAAAAACCAAAGCCACGCCGGCGATTGGGTCAGCAGGTGAGAAATGCTCCCGAGGAGACATTCCTCTGGCTAAGAACTTCTTAAAAAAAAAGATGGAGACAGCCACAAACAAGTCTTTTACTTGGTGAAACTTCATTATTCCTTCTTACGATGCAGCCCACACGGGCGGCCACGTGAATGACGTCATCAAACAGCATCTGTCCCAGAACCGTTCTGAAGCGAAGCCTGGAGGGTCACAAGCAGTCCTCAGCCTGCTCGGGCATATTTTAGCAATAAAATAGGGTAAACTAGTGTGCGCTGCAATGTTTCTTATCAATTCCTTTTTTTCTTTTTTTTGTTTTTTTCTCTTTTTTGGTCTTTTTCTTTATTTTCTTTGACGTTGTCTAAGAAAAGCCAAACGGCCGTATCAAACAGGACAGACCTTTCAAAAGGTTTTGATAACAGCAGCCTGCTGAGTCCGTTTTAAATGCAATTATTTTATGTGGGACTAATTCAGAGATAAAAGTTAGCTCTGTCAATAGAGCTTAAATCCATTCCTTGTAAAACAGGCCCTTGATTTACTCCCGTTCCAAATAAATCCGTTGATACTACGCGCTCACGGATAGCAACGGTGGAACGACCCATCATGGAGCCCACATCGCCCCAGTGGCTTCATGTGGGTTGTGAGGTGGAAAAACAGAGGGAAAGGAGAGGGGCTGCCTGCTTTCTGGGGATCCAGGCGGTGCCAGGGGCTCCGTAACCACCAACTGCATTTGGATTTAGGGCATAAATTTAGCTGGTGAGGACAGAGCGTGGCCGTTTCTCATCTTTTGTTGGGCAAAGACAGTATAAATGGGCCACTTATGAGAGCGCTTGTTATGTACGAGTGCTCATACATTTGCGGATGTAGCAGCCCTTCTTAATTTACTCCTCAGCTACAGTTGAAATCCTCTTCTGTCAGACAGGTTTTCTGTGTAAAACCTAGTTTGTACCGACTTCTGGGCACCTTGCCACCAGAGCTAGATTATAGACAAACAAGCGTGTGCGCACACACATAATCAGGGCCCGCAATCACATATTTAATCAGGAATGGATTAGGCAACCTTTACAAAGTTCAAGCTGCGGGCTGAAATGAAGAACCACCATGCCGGAAAAAAAAAAAAAAAAAAAAAAAAAAAAAAAAAAAAAAAAAAAAAAAAAAAAATAAAAAGGTGTTATAAATGCTTTAATAGACTTGGCATTACGGATGCAAACTCGTGTCCTTACCCAAATGGTACTTTTAAACATTTTTTTTTTTTCAGCTGTTTCTTTTAGAAGCAATCGACTGGTTTACACCAGCTTGCATTTCAGTGCTAATAATATCAGGCTACAGAGTTTTAATTAAGAGAAGATCCTCCCGTAAAGAAATCACATGACGATTTTAACAGCACGTTCGCTAGAGGTTTTTGTTGGCTGAGAGAGAGCCAAAGGGATTTTGCGTCGCCCACGGACATCAGGCATTACAGAACCCCAGAATCATCCGGGTTGGAAAAGCCCCTGCAGCTCCTCCAGCCCAACCATGACCCTCCCCCTGACCGTTCCCAACTCCCCCAGATCCCTCAGCGCTGGCTCAGCCCGACTCTTCAACCCCTCCAGGGATCCCGGGGACTCCCCCCCTGCCCTTGGCAGCCCATTCCAACGCCCAACAGCCCCTTCCCCACAGAAATCCTTTCTCAGAGCCAGTGTAAAATTACTACTCAAATGACCCACCAATGTCTGGGCAGGCACATGTCCATGCAATGACCAGTTTTTGTAGAAAGAACCCATAATATGGAAGGAAAATGCCAACACATGGGAATCAAACTGCCACTGTCTGTGAAACACTTCAGCAGAGCATTTTAATTAAACAATTTAATTCTAAGTAAATTAAAACAATAAAAAATCGGTTTCTCGTGGCTTTGGCAAAAGTTACTTAAGAGTTTTCTCCTGTTTTCCTTTCTTAGGTAAACAGCTTAACCCCTCACTGGTGTAAATATAAAATACGCTCTTCTACCTTGAACATCAACTGCTAAGAAGCGTTCGCGCTTCGTTATTTTTGCCAATCCCGATGCTGGGTTTGCCATAGCAAAGCTTTTCTCCCTCCCCAGGACTAGGGGAGCTCTCTTGGAGCCGGGATGTCTGCCCACCGCAGCGGTCACCAGTGGGATGGCTCCATCACCCGGGGAGGCCCACGCTAACAGAATTCCCCCTCTGATTTACACCAAGATCTAGACGATGCCACCAAGCCAAGACAACCTTCATACCCCTCAGCACCCACAAATATTGTACAAGTGAGGGTAGAGGTTACAACTCACATAAGTCCCCTACGCTTACAGACCTGCTAACACCCATCAATTGCTTTAAACCCAGCTAGGACACCACCTGCCCCCGCAACAACCCTGGCAATGATGACCAGAAACTCCGTCCCGGACACACAAAGGAGCACTTTTTAATGTCTATTTTTAACTCACACCATTAGTTTCTTCTCCCAGACCTACAAACCAGCGGGGACCCAAAGATCACACACAGAATCACACAGAACCATTCGGGTTGGAAAAGCCCCTCGGGATCAGCGAGTCCAACCCTCAGCCCGACTCTACAAAGTTCTCCCCTACCCCACATCCCCCACAGCTCATCCCAACGGCCCTGAAACCCCCCCAGGGATGGGGACTCCCCCCTCCCTGGGCAGCCTCTTCCACTCTCGCACCACTCTTGCTGGGGAACATTTTCTCCTCCTGCCCAGCCTGACCCTCCCCTTGGGCAGTTTCCAGCCGTTCCCTCTTGTCCTGTCCCTGATGCCCTGGGAGCAGAGCCCAGCCCCAGCCTCTCTGCAATGTCCTGTCAGGAGCTGCAGAGAGGGATGAGGGCTCCCCTCAGCCTCCTCCTCCTCACACTGAACACTCCCAGCTCCTTCCCTGCCTCCTCACAGGATTGATTCTCCAGCCCTTCCCCAGCCTCGTTGCCCTCCTCTGCCCTCGCTCCAGCCCCTCGAGTTCTCTCTGGGATTGAGGTGCCCAGACCTGGACACAACGCTCCAGGTGTGGCCTCACCAGTGCAGAGCACAGGGGACTGTCACCTCCCTGCTCCTGCTGGTCACACCAGTGCTGACACAAGCCAGGATGCCGTTGGCTTTCTTGCCCACCCGGGCACACGCTGGCTCCTGTTCAGCTGCTTGTCCATGAGAACCCCCAGACCCTTCTCTCCCAGACAGCTCCAGCCACCCCTCCCCGAGCCTGTAGCCACGCAGGGGGTGGTTGTGGCCCAAGGGCAGGACCTGGCACTTGCCC